ATATGGAGCAGAGGTCCATCAGTGGCTATTAGCCACAAGGTATAGATAGGGGCTCTGGGGCAAGTGATGCTCTGTCTTCTTGGTGCTTGGGGGTGGGGGTCAACAGTGGGAGGGCTTCTAATGTCCTGGCCCCACTGGTGGACCTCCTGATGGCACCTGGTATTTCTGGCCACTGTGTGACAGAGAGTGTTGGACTGGATGAGCCTTTGGCCTGATCCAACATTGGCATCTCTTATGTTCTTATGTTCTATTGCTGATCTACACATTCAGCATTGTGATTTATTTGCTTAAAACATTTCTATCCCACCTTATCTCCTTGGACTTGAGAAGGTTTTTATACCCCACTTTTTCTCTACCCTTACAATTGCATTCCCTTCCCCATAACAGGCACCTTGTGAGGTAGGTGAGGCTGAGATACTTCTGAGAGAACTGTGACTGGCCCAAGGTCACCCAGCAGGCTTCATGTGGAAGGGTGGGGATTGGGGAATCAAACCCGGCTCTTCAGATCAGAGTCTGCCACTCTTAACCATTACATCATGCTGGCTCTCAAGGCACTGCCCAATGCATCAACCAGGCTGCAAGGACACAAATTATAATTTAAGATTAAAAGTTGTGCATTACAAATTTAAAATGGAGAGGTGTAAACAAATACAGCTAAATTTGCTGAAACAATTTCTCTTTCCACTAAATATACTCTCCAGAATATTTACATGCCTTCCTGATCTGGATGGCTGAGGCTAGCCTGATCATGTCAGATCTTAGAAGCTAAGCATGGTCAACCCTGATTAGTACTTCAGTGGGAAATCCTGGGTTGCTATACAGAGGCAGGCAATGGTAAACTACCTCTCAACATTGCCTTGAAAACTGTATGGGTCACCAGAAGTCGGCTGTGACTTGATGGCACGTTCCACCATCACATGCCTTCCAAAATGTGGCAGGTGAAAGTGCCCTCCTCATCCATTCTGGCAGGTTGTTTCAGTAGACCAGGCCCACCACAGAAAAGGCACAAGATCTTGTTTTAGCTGTATGAACAGTCTTAAGGAAAGTCACCTTAAGGAGGAGAATGTTGGCAAGAGTTTAACTTGTGTGGGGTGGGGCTATGTTGCTCTTTTCTGCCAGACCCTGGGTTTGATCCAGTCAGCTTTTCCACTGACGGAAAAAGGAGGGAGGAGGGCCTTTGACCTCCCTAAGGGGCTATGCTGGGTATCATGGGACCTGTGTGGAAAAGCGCCTGTAGTGAGGAGAACTTTACAAGATTTAATGAAAGCTGGTTGGATCAGATCCATCTTGAATGCTTTACTGAGAGGTGCCAAAACTTTGAGGAAAGTCTAACAAAGTCCATAAGTGGGAAGTTCCTATAATGGATGAACATATGAAGCTGCCTTATACTGCAGGACACCTGAGTCCATCTAATACAGGGGTTCTCAACCTTTTTTTTGGCTCATGGCCCCCTTCTGAGCCTCTGTGGCCCCACCTCATTGTGTCTGTTAGCTGGAAAAAAGGTACTTTACCATCTGCACTGTTTATCAATCTAAACTGTATCCGTTATATGCAGCTTACACAGCCACATTCTCTCATTTGAAAGTGTACTCATACATATTAGACACATTGGCATCACACTGTTCTGAGGTGATGAAATAGAACTGTGGGCCCGATACTCAATTGAATATTGCCAACATTTTTTTTCCCTTTACCCTACTCGCCATCTAGAGTAATCTTTTTTTTAAAGTAAATCACATAAATAATATAAAATTTCATTCATTACAGATTGCCTTTTTATTAAGATATTTATTATAAAATATAATTTTCAATATTTATGCTGCTGAAACTAGTACAGAAATTGAGATGTAAGAATTATGACAAACTGATCATAAAGTAGGGTTGCCAAATCCGTCTTGGCCGGGAGTGGGGGGCTCCTGGCCGGCGTCGGGGTTGTGCGTGCGTGCGCCGCATGCACGTCACGCAGAAGTGATGTAGGCACGCTGGGGGCGGGGCCACAGCTGGGGCCCCGCCCCCAGCGAGCCCACGTCACTTGCTAGTGACGCGCATGCCGGGGGTGGGGTTCCCCCGGGCCCTGATTCCGCCGCGTTTGAAATCGGGGCTTCAAAGCAGGGGATTCCCCGCCCCCCGCCCACATTTGGCAGCCCTATCATAAAGCCTGTGTTGTGGGTGGGAGTGCAGAGGGTCTTCCACTGGCTGCCACCACTCTGGTATGGGTTTAACCAAGGAGGGCTCAGAACACCCTCCCTACTTCCTCTTCTGAGTGGCCCAATGAGGTGTGAGGACCCAGCAGAGTAACAAAAATATGGTTTATTAAACCGATTTGGTAATAACCAGGATGGATTAGATAAAAGGCAATGAACAGGAGTTGCCACCAAAACAACAAAAAATCCCTAACGTGCCTACTTTTTAAACTTCCCATTACACTAGGCTCAAGGCCACACTCACCCCTCTCTGGGTAAGGGATAGCTCTGCCTCCAAGAGTGAATACCCTCCCTCCTGCTGCAAGGCCTTTTTGGTGTAGTGGTTAAGTGCGCGGACTCTAATCTGGGAGAACCGGGTTTGATTCCCCACTCCTCCACTGGCACCTGCTGATGTGACCTTGGGTCAGTCGCAAGCTCTGGCACAGCTGTCCTTGAAAAAGAGCAGTTTCTGTCAAGAGCTCTCTCAGCCCCACCCACCTCACAGGGTGTCTGTTGTGAGGAGGGGAAGGGAAAGGAGTTTGTAAGCCGCTCTGAGACACCTTTGGGTAGTGAAGGGCGGGGCATAAATCCAATCTCTTCTCTTCTTCTTCTTCTACTTTTTGCCCAGGGGCACCACCTCTTCACCTGTGATTGGCTTCAGTTTCCCCTCTATTTCTCCCTTGCCCAATCACAAGACTCAGAGGGAGCCTGGGAACAGTAGGCCCACAGCCTAATCTAGTTGAGGCTTTCTGTGGTCTGAAGGCCTCAATCTGCCTCAGCATAGGCCCAGGATCATGACAGCCTGGCAGTTAAGTTTGGTGGCGCTCTCAGAAACTTATTGTGCCCCTGTAGAAATATGGCACTTACTGTGGCTCCCTAGAAATATGCATGGCCCCCGTTGCAAACCACTGATCTAGTATACTCTGAGCAGCATTGGCCTCTTTTCCAGCATAGCAACCTGAGCATGGGGATTGATTTTAAAACATGTACTCTACTACTGAGCAATGGTTTCCTCTCATCTTCTCTACTTGCTATGATTTTTACTGTATTCTCTCATCCCTTGTGTTTCTGCTTAATACAGAAGCCAGCATGTACTTCAGACCTGTAACACCAGAAAGCACATACAAAACACTGAGGGCCACACTAGTTTACATCAGAAAGGGAACTTCATACTGCTTGCAATGTAAGCAAGGTGTTGGCAAAAATGAACAGGTACTTCTCTAAAAGTGTTGTATCCTAAAGTGGCTTTCTTTTAAAAAATATATGCATGACTCCTTCAAGAGATCTTTGCTAAAAGACTAAAAGGAGGATATATATGGAAAAAGACACCACTCCTGGAATTTTTTTTGCATAATATTAACAGGAGGTGGTTCAATAAAATATCTTGGCTGTTTTGTTTTTCTTTTCGGCACATACAACATGAATGTGGTTTCCACATCTTGCTGTTTCCAAGACTGGCCCAAGTTTTTGCGTTATGTAAACTGTATATTGCTAATGCTCCTGAGACATGCCTTTTAGACTATATGCTCATTCATTAGTACTTTTAAATTGATTGCTGTTCCAGAGATTATTGGAGTTGCTTGTAGTTGTGACAAACTTGATTTTCCCCTCTGTCCCCCCCCCCCAATCACTCTTGGACCCTGAAAGTATTGCAGGCTTAGTAACATGAGATGCCTGTCAGACACAAGTTTGTCATTAGAGGCGCAGAGCATGAAGCATCTAATTTCATCCTAGTTAATCCTAATTAGTGAATTGGTTTGTGGTTCTCATTTTACAAAACTGAAGTCTTATTTTGAAGCTCAGCTGAACGTTCATTCTGAATGCAGCAAAGTTTTTTTTAAAACTAAGCATTTTGGTATTATATCTTTGATTAGAATTAACGGTGGTAATCTGCTCATTTCCATGTCATCAAATGCTTGGCACATCATCAAATGCTTGGCAATGCTGCCATTTGATACCACCAGTATTCATGAGGTTGAAAGTGGTTCTTAGCTTCTAGTTCCTTATTTGCAATTCCTAATTCCTTATTCAATTAAAAGGTGTAAAAGCAGTATGTGTCAGGGCATGTATTTAAGCAGCTTTACACCCCAATATAGGTTCTGGGTCAAAGGAACAGTCTTAGCACATACCCTAAGTATGCATCTGGTCTAGTCTTTTATTTTGGTGTAGCATGCTTGCAGGTATGACACCCTAAGGACTGGTTTATAAACTCAATAATCAAGAACGAGAGTTTGATCATCTGTGTGTTTTGCAAAAAACAAAACAAAACACCATTGAGCCACTTCAAGTTATACAAGTGGCACAAATACATGATTGGGCTGACTCAAAACTTATTTTGGGATTGCAGAGCAGTTCAAAGTATGTCTCTGTACTGGTGGGTGAATTATCACTCAGTAGTAGGGTTGCCAACTCTAGGTTGGGAAATACCTGAAGATTTTGAAAAATAGGAATAGTCTTGTTCTAATTTCCATCTTGCTAGATGAGAAACAGTTTCCATGGAGGAAAGTTGGAATATAAATATTTTAATAGATAAAATTATAAAACAAAAATAGGGTTCCCAACCTCCAGGTGGGGCATAGAGGTCTCCTGGAATTACAAATGATCTCCCAGACTACTGAGATCAGTTCCCCTAAAGAAAATGGCTCCTTGGGAGGGTGGACTCCGTGGCAACAACCCTGGTAAACACACCCCTTAAAGAATCCTATTTTTCTCCTAGAATCATAGAACCATAGAATTGGAAGGGATCTCCAAGGTCATCTAGCCCACCCCCTGCACAATGCAGGAAATTCACAAATCCCCCCCCCCCCCAACCGACACCTGTTACTGTTCAGTAACAAAAAACCTCCAGGATCCCTGGCCAAATTGGCCTGGAGAAAAATAGCTTCCTCACCTCAAAGTGGAGATCAGCATTTCTTTGGGCGTGTAAGAAAGGGAACTAACCACTGATGCAGTCCTTACTGATGCACACATTACCACACATGTGGATAACAAGTTTTCAAGTTACATGGGCTGGGAGAGGGAATCTCCGGACTACAGTCTTAGATGCTTTTACTTGGGAGTGAGGCTCACTGAGCTCAATAGGGCTAGCTTTTATACATGCACAAGAGTGGACTGTGCACCTGCGATTTTAAACACACATTCCAAACGAATCCAGCCAGATTTATTTCTGAATGAGCATAATTAGGATTGTGCTGTATAAGAAGTCACGAAACAGCCCTGAGCGTGGTCACTCATGAAATCCCTCCCCAATAAAAAGTATTTAAACAGATTTTGTATTTTCCTTGGTGATTTTGCATTGAGCAGTGCGGCTGTACTATTTTTTCTACTTCACTGATGAAACGCCTGCCACAATAGAGCCTGCGCCTACAAGAACCGGCAACTTCCTTCAGCCATTCCGCAAGACTGGCTTGAAAGGGCTTATTCCTATCGAGTTTGCCAACTCAAGCCTGCTGGAGCAACGCAGCCCCAAAACCGGTTTCCAGCCCGCGCGGCGTTTCAATGAGTCGCCCTGGAAACCTCAAGGGGTGGAGGGAAGGCCTCGCGTTTGTCTTTCCGCGAGATCACCTTTGGCCGGCAATTGCTATGGTGACGAGGACGCGTGCTGCGTGACGGTGGGCTTACGGTTTGGTCCTTGACAGCCGCCGTCCTTCCGCTGGGTGAGTGGGAGGGGGGAAGCTGGGAAACATGAGAGCAGACCGGTGGGTGCCGCGGTTGCCATGACAACGCTATGGAAGGCGGGTCGCCGTCTACAGGTGAAAAGGGGAGGGGGGGATGAAGGGCTTAGGGAAAGGGAAGGAGGACGGAGGGTTGCCTGCCCTCAGCGGGAGACGGGTGACCGACATGCCAAAGATTGGAGCCGCCGGGAAGGAGGGTAGCCGAAAGTTGTGCTTCGGCAAACCCTCGTGTGGCGTCTCCGACCAAAAGAGGCTCGGGACGCTGGATGCGAGTGTGGCGGCTGTGTGTCGCTGGAGCGGCCGCGGCGATGGCGGGCGCAGACTTTGCCCCGGGGTTCTCCCTCAGGGCAGACGCCGGCTCCGGAGCCGAGCCCTTCTTTCGAAAGGGGGCGGTGGCCTTTATCCCGAGCGGGAAGCCTCTGGCGGCTGCCATGGCGACAGCCAAAGATGCTCTTCAGGTGCTTAATGAGCCCCGACGTAAAAACGGGCCACTTTTGTCTAGGAAGCTCGGGCGCTGGGTCTCCGTCGCCTTAATCCTCCCCGGCAGCTGTTGCCGAGCTGCGTTCCTCAAGGCTAGAGAGCGCTGCGTCCAGAAAAGTAGGGCAGGGGCTGACTCCGGACTCGGAGGGAGGCTTTGTCGGCCGTTTCCCCGCCCCGGGATATATTCGGCGGCTTTACAGTGTGGGTGTGGAGCGAGCTCGTAAGGAAGACAGAACTTTATTATTCATAAAATACATCCGAAGAAGAAAAGTTTTGATAACTAAGTGGCTCAAGTGGAGCTCATAAAGCAGTACCTCGCCTCTTTTCCTGCTGATTTCAACTGGTGCCCTCTGCCGGGAGGGAGGGAGAGAGGGAGAGAGGGAGGGCAAGAAAGAACAGATCTGCCTACATTAGTGGGTCAGGCAAGTGCTTTAATTTTACTGTTTCCTTTGGGTGTTTTTTTTTTAAGGGTTTAGGGTACATATATGCAATCATATTAAACTCAGGAACAACACTAATGAAAGTGCTTAGTGGGGGGCACAAGTGGTTGAGCAAATTAAAGTTGCTAATGGCTCTTGCATTGTCTTGTGCCTAGAGGAACAGTGTGGTAAATAGATCAGCTATATCGGACTCTGTTTACACTCATTTCCTTCTAGGAATAGAATTGAAGGGCCAAAATACTAAATTTTCTGATGAGTAGGTCATGCTTTCAAATATTAATTTACTGTATGGTCCAAATGTTTAATTTTGGTCACTTAAGGACTCCCCTATTTTACTAACTTCCTCTTTAATAATTCTGTGAAACCTGAAGGTATTTCAGATGTCTAACACCTTTTGAACATAATTTAAACTTTTGAGAAACTGATATTTTATCTCCTGTGCCTTTAGATCAAGGCTTACTTGTAATCTGATCAATGTAACAGACTCCTCTAAGTAAATAACAACTGAATTGAAATGAGATGGCAGTGATGCCTGTTACTTTCTACTGTCATTGGTCTCTATGGAGATTTCCTGATTTGTGATATGTCCTTGCAGGAGAACCATGACTTCTTGCACAAGCCACAAAAAGCTTTTTGTCTGCATTTTGTGTCTTGGTGTTTAGAAAAGTAATGTAAAATACTAGACATTACTGATATTTCTGAATTATTCTTGCGACCTTGGACTCAGTTAAAAGTGTCTCATGGGAGATGTTAGCTTCCATATGACTGATGGGTAAATGGCTGGAAAGAAACAGGGAAATTTTCTGACTGAGAGCTTCAGCTGTTCCCGATTTGTCACTGTAGCACTAAATTATTGTTGGAGTTGTGTTGTTTTTTAGGCAAAAACATATATAGCACAGCATAGGAGTATTCTGTACATCAGATTTTCCCAGCTATAAGATTCTGATGTGCATAGACCAAAGTTTATTGTGCTAGCTGAATTTACATCTGATGTAGCTTCCCAAATAAAAGTCTTCTATGCATACAGATAATTGTACAACAAAACATCCTCAAGTACACAGTGCAATCCCAAGAACACTTTGCTGCGAGTAAGCCCACTGCTTAGGATTGCTATCATAGCTAGTGGAAAGGATGCCTTTGTAATTATGGGAATTGTTGTTCGCTGAAACCAAAGATGGTTGGATGGAATAAGTGTGTGAACTAGAAAAAATACTGCATAATTAAGCTGTAATGCATTTGTAATTAAACTCTTATTTAATTTTTTCATATTAGTTTTACTTTAAGGAACATCCACAATGAGTTACAAGAAGGACACTAGCGAATCTGCCGACAGTGGAGATTCCATAGAAACTGGAGAATATGAAGATGACTTTGAAAAGGACCTTGAATGGCTAATTAATGAAGAGGAAAAAGGTATCTCTGATAACACACAGGTACTTATAAAATGCTACATTTGTTGTCTTGTGTCAGTATCTAAATGGCATGTGAAATATAATATGTTGAATATAGCTGAGAACTAAAGGCCTTTTGAATTCATCCCCCAATGTTTCCATATCACTTGCTAAATCTTGGGGAAATTTCTGGAGTGGGTCATGAAGCATCTTTCAGACACATTTATGGCTATGGTTCTGATCCAGAACTGATTTTTTGGCGGTGAACTTCCATGCTGCTTCATTTCAGTTACATACTTGTGCTACTTTTCCCTCATGTTTTCCCTGAGGTTTGCATATTGACGATACATTGCTGCAGAAAAATAACATGAGTCATTACACATTTTATTTAATCTTTCTGCCTTTTTTTTTTTTAAACACACTCAGACGGAGAGAGACCAATACTGGCAGGTATAGACTTATAGGAGACATCCAATCATTATAGAGACATGTAGCCCAGAGGGGGAAAGGTGGAACTCCTTTGGAGCTCCTTGCTAATGCTATCACCAAAGTTTGTGCACGCTTTTTTTTAAAAGGGGGAATGGCGTTGATTTGGGGACATGTGCAATGAAAATATGGAAAAACACACAGAGGCAGTGCGGGGTACTACACACTATGTGGAATGCCCATTTCAGTGCACTGTTGGGAGCAGCCTACACAGTGAGCTAAATGCTGAACAATACTGCCATCTGGGAGACACCAATGTAAGGACCTGAGGTGCTGATCTGAAGAGAGAAGTCCTTTTCTCCTTGAAGGGTCGTGGCCCCCCCCCCCCAATGTTAATAATCTCTTACTTAAGTAGAGATGATAGTTTTTCCTCTGGATTTCCTAAGCAATGCATTCTTGGTGAAAGTGAGAGTATAGTTGGACTAAGAGCTGGTAGACTTGGGTTCATTTTTGTACTATGTTATGTAGCTCACTGGATGACCTTGGGTCAGTCATTGACTTCAATCTCAGCCAGATTTCCATGGGTACAAGGAAGGAGAGAGATTTTACCAATCCCAGTATGGGAGGCCTCTGATTTCTATCAAAGCTCTTTTTGGGGGTCCGTTGTCCCCCCCAAAAGCAGCATTTTGGCAGATATTTTGGGCTGGAGGGATTGGTAAAAATCACTCCCTCTGTGGAAATCTAGGCAGGATCCAACCCATTCTCTTTCACACTAACCTACTTTGCAGAGGTGTTTTGAAGATAAAATAGAAGGGACGAGAAAGAACTATACATCCAGTGCATTTTCTTCCCCCTCTTTCTTCAGGGAGCTCAGAGAGAACATTATTTAATTTCTAAGGCTGGATAATTTTTGACTGTTCGACAGAATGTAATAGTAGTTGTTTGTTCGGGCCAATGTGAAGACAAAAAAGAGAGAGGGGGAGGGTTTTGTGTCCAAAGCTTATCTAGATCCCTGCTGGCAAAACAAAATTGTGAATAATAATATATTTAAACCAGGAATGATTGGTGTTGGTTGTCTGACTCCAATTACTCACATTAATTTTCATTCTTACGAAACCAAATTGGCTTACTGTCAGTAACCAGTATGGATCTGTAAGAGTGAAACATAGACAATCAGTAACCAGTATGGATCTGTAAGAGTGAAACATAGACAATATAAGCAGAGCATTATGCTTTCCATGCATTGGTGCCTATGCCAGGTGACAGAATCCTATTTTCTTAATTTAGCACAAAGAATTTTTAATAGTTGTGGAGAAAAGTTGCAAAGGAATATCAAAGGATTTTTGTCTAGGATTTCAAAGGGCTCCAAAAGCAACACCTCTGTGCCTGGTTTGGCTCCTAATCTCTCTGACTTGACTATAGCTGCTTTCTTTTTGCCTTCCCATATCTTGCAAATATATTTTGAATGTTACAAAAATGGTAACCTGAATCAATTCTGCCAATTAACTAAATTTGCTTAGAATCTGTATTGTGAGGCTGTCCATGTCAATAAAACATCAGGCATCTGCATTGTTTATCTATTGTAGTTGCATTGTTCTTTCTCTGAAGAGTTCAATGTAGTATTTTTAACTTTGCAGCAGTACTGTAAAGTACATAAGGTTTACACATAGAGACAAGGATAATTAGTGAGTATCACAGATCAGCAGAGATTTGAACTTGGGTTTCTCATGACCAAGTATAACATTGGAGATGTTGAACCTTGTTACCTGTTCTTTTAGATGTTTTTACAGTTTTGAACTTCAGCTATAAAGGTCATTTGATTACTAGGGAAAGGGAGAAAATCCAGAAAGGAGGTTTTGTGGTACCTTAAAGATGAAGAGATTCACTGTGGCATAAGCTTTTATAGGCTAGACCCCCCGTGGTCAGATGCATGCTGTGTTCAGTTGGCATGAAGTGTGTCTTTGTCTGTCCTAATTGAGGATTACAGAAACTCATGCCACAGTATAGCTGTTAGCCTTCAGAGTGCCACAAGACTCCTTTTTGTTTCTTTTTTTTGCTTTTGTCTTTTGCTGCAGACCAATATGGCTACCACTCTGCAACTTACAGAAGGAAAAGTTGTCTTGGAAACTCTGAATGTTATGATATCCCAGTTAATGCCAATATACAGGAATGTTAATTCTTTTTAAAAGAAAGGCTATATACAAATCTTAAAAGACTTCAGGCCTTTAAAACATATGGGAGTGAATCCTAACTATGTTTTGAAACGAACAGTCTTCCATCAGCAGCTAAGGAATGTGATTTTTGATAATATGCCTGCTCTACTGACACCCACTTAGGCATGGGATCATGATTTCAGGGGAACAGCAGATTGCTTGGGAGTTGTTTATATGCATGTCACTCTGCCTGTGTCAAATAGGATCAATGCCATAATCCACGTGCACTCAAATTGTTATTTACTCTTCTAATGCAAGTAGTTATTTTTAATTTCTTCTTAGAATCATGAAGAAAATGAAGAGGAGGTTGAAACGAATATTAACAAAGAAGACCAGGAAGAAAGAAGAAATACTTCAAAAGAGCCTCCTGAACCTGAGGAAGCTCTGAAGGATGAGAGGAGGAACTCTTCAAAAGAGCCTCCAAATCCTAAAGAAGCTCTGAAGGATGAAGGGCTGCAAAATCAAGCAGGTAGTCCCATGAGATGGTTGGAGCAAATGTCTGATACTGACAGTGAAAGCTCTTGTCAGGAATCAAACCAGGAGGACTTGGAAGAGGATGATGAAGAAATAAAGCGTTACATCTTGGGGAAAATTGAAGAAGCCAACAAACTTCTCTTGTCTCAAGAACCTTTGGATGAAAATAAAGAGAAGAAACTAAAATTCAAGGATCATCTAGTAGATCTTGAAGTTCCTCCTTTGAATGCTATTGAAATTGATAAAAATGATCCTCACAGAGAAAGGGACATTTCAGGTAGGCTGTCTCAGTTTCACATTTCTAATGAACCAGGACAGGAAGATATACCTTTTCCTATTAATGGTGCTTTGGATGATGAACACAAGGATGGCAAAATCTTAGTGGAAAGAGATGGGAAGTTCGAACTCCTGAGTATTCGTGACATTGAGAGCCAAGGCTTCTTCCCTCCACTCAGTGTTTCTTTCAGTGACATTGAAGCTCAACATATTTCTCCTAAATCTTCCCACGCGGCTGTTTTTGGCACTTTCTGTCTAACGAAAGAAGAGACCCTATCATCTACATCTTGCTCTCCTTCCAGAGAAGGGTTTCTGTATTTCCCCCAACCACCCCCCATTCGTCCAAGCTCTGCCATCAACATTACAAGGAATGTGGAAAGAGGGAAAAGTCCACGCAGGGTGCAATCTGCAAATGTGGGTATAAGAAGTTCCACATATTGTCTGTCGCCCAGGCAGAAAGAACTGCAAAAGCAAATGGAACAAAGAAGAGAGAGATTAAGGAAACAGGTGAGAGTACCAAGGAGATGAACAGATTAGAGGGTTTATTCCTTTTATACCTCCTTTCCTGCTAAGATCAATAGGCAGGTCTTTGTGCCAAGTCCCATCATTAAAAGCAGCTAGTTCACTTGCAGTCAGGAGGCAAGGCTTGTTTCATCCTGGTCTAGAAGCTTTGGGATGAACTGTTTAGGGATATATATGCCAGTATACATCTTTTAGTTCTCAGAGAGAGGAGCGATACTTGCCTTTTAAAACTGGCTTTTAGAGGGTGGTGCTGTTTTTAACACGGATGAGATCTGGAGTCCATCCAGTCCAGCATCTGCTTTATCATACTGGCCAGCCATATACCTCTATAATGGTTACAAGTAGTCCCACAGAAACTGATATTCAGAGGTAGCCTCTATAATGGTTACAAGTAGACCATGTTATTAGTCCCACAGAAACTGATATTCAGAGGTATAGTCTTGTTGAAAATGGAGGTTCTGTTTAACTGAGATAATTGGTGTTTGTAGATATATCCTGTCTATTCTCTAAAGTCATGAAAGCCATGTCCATTTCCAGAATATTATAGTATTGTTCTGTTATGGCTATGAATTGACTAATTGGTGTTTGTAGACATATCCTGTATGAACAGATTTAATCTATTCTCTAAAGTCATGAAAGCCATGTCCATTTCCAGAATATTATAGTATTGTTCTGTTATGGCTATGAATTCCATAATTTAATTATGCACTGTGCAACTTCATCGTATTTTTATGATTAAAAAAAAATTCTGTACATATAAACACAAACTTACATGAATCTGCTTTGTACTAAGTCAGACCATTGACCTGTCAAGGTCAGTGTTGTCAACTCAGACAGGTGCCAGTTCTCCAGAATGTCACAGAGAGATCTTCATATCAACTGATTATTTTAACTGGACATGCCAAGAAATCCAGAGCAAGCACCATAAAGAAGTGGGAGTAGAATTCTATGAAAAAAACCTACATATTTTGCTTTTTAAAAGTAGTAAGGATTACTAAAGCAGTTACTGTGACTTAGGACTTTAAAAAGATGAAGCTATGTGTGCATTCAAATCTTGTTACCTGAATCAGGCTAAATTTGATATGTTCCCATGAACCATATACATTTTTCTGTCAGTGCAGATGGTAGCTTCCCTTCTGATTAATTTTCTTCTGTAGTATGAAATCAGAAGTAGGGGAATGGTACTTAATGTAGAAGTACTTAGTACTTCTGCTGCGGTGGCTCAAGTGGTTAAGACGCTGAACTGCAGACCGGAAGGTCAGTAGTTCAGCAGTTTGAGACGTAAGTGCTGCATGACGGAGTGAGCGCCCGTCTCTGGCCCCAGCTCCTGCCAACCTAGCAGTTTGAAAGCAAGAAATTGCAAGTAGATAAATAGGTACCGCTTCAGTGGGAAGGTAACAGCGTTCCGTGCACCTCAGTGTCTAGTCATGCCAGCCACATGATCATGGAAATGTCTTTGAACAGCGCTGGCTCTTCGGCTTGGAAATGGAGATGAGCACCGCATCCCTAGTCAGACTTAACTGGCTTTCGAGCAAGGGAAACCTTTACCTACTTAGGTACTTAATGCAGAAGGATAAACATATGGAGCAGAGGTCCATCAATAGCTATTAGCATAAGGTATAGATGGAACACTATGTCTGGAGCAGTGATGCTCTGTATTCTTGGTGCTTTGGGCGCAACAGTGGGAGGGATTCTGGAATTCTGGCCTTGCTGGTGGACCTGATGGCACCTAGGTTTTGGCCACTGTGTGACACAGCCTGTTGGACTGGATGGGCCATTGGCCTAATCCAACTTGGCTTCTCTTATGTACCAAGCAGTATAAGGCTTTGCCTTGAGAGTCATTAATCTTCAGAGTTACCACCTGTTCTGATTCCACTAATATGTTTGTATAGACATGACTGTCAATACAGTTCTCTTCTTTCTTGAAGATATCTGTACACACAACACTTAAACTGTGCCATCTTGAATCACGCTTTTGCCTCAGTTTTTATTTACCTGGATGTTTTTATTGTTTTCCAGGTTATTGATCTTAATTAGACTATACAGTTATAGCAGCCATTGGAATTGAATTACCATTATTAGATAATATCTGTATTCCAGCTCTTTAAAAAAGTGGCTAGTATAATTTCAAACAGTTTTAATGCAGTTGCTTTAATATGAGACTGCTTAAAAATTCTCATTAAAAATATCAACACAAGGAAGAAGCATGTAAAAGAGAACAAGAGGAGGAGAAAAAGAAAGAAAATGATTTGGTCTTCAAAGCTTGGCTAGAGAAGAAAAAAGGACAAATGCAAGAAGAGAGACGAATTCAACGTGCAAAAGAGCTGGAAGATTTGAACAGAGTAAGTTGATATTGCCTTAGGCTGCTTTGTATGAAATTCCTTGACAAAGGGTGTGGTGCAGCTGCCTTTCATTTCCAAATGGTAGCTGCCAGAATCTTTGTGGACACTGGACCCAAGATCACTTTCCTACAGCTACTGCAGTTACTAGCTACTGAGAAGTTATCTTAAAAGAAATGTGTATGATCATCTGGGTATTTGCATATTAACTTCCATTGCATACCCCCGGCCACATTTACAACATTCCAGCCACCTTGGGGTCCCTTAGAGAACTGCAACACATCTCTTGGATTTCATTTAGCATATTTCATGGCTGGACTGATCTGTGCAGATGTAGAAGAGTGGGGGGGGGGCGCAAGGTAGAGCCATATTGGTCTTTTCAGTTGTGCAAAGAGTCAGGTTCAGGGAGAAATGAAGACTTTTGAAGAGGCATGATACAAAGTAAGAGTCAGTGGGTAAGTAGTGGTATAAGTTGCATTGCTGTTCCAGTGAAATATTAGTGAAGTAAAAAAGAGATTGCATGGGATACTTCAACACATTAAAGGAATGTTCGTTGTGGCATGGATGAGATATTCTGTTGGTGGGAGGCAGTAAATATATGTGTGGGGAGGGCACCATTTGAAGAGGGAATAGAGATGTGTCTTTGGACTATAATAGTTTTTTGCTGGGATTATGAGAGTCTGCTCTGTAAGCTAGTTTGTATCTCCTACTAAAATCACTAGGCAGTTAGTAGTAGGCAAAGTTAAGTGAGGTAGCTCTTGTTTGATCACAGAGAATTTGGAGATTTAGCTCCAGAAAGGAAAATCGTTTAACTAGCTTGAAAAACCAAATGTTACATCTTTTTTCAGGCAAGATCACATTTCTGATAGCAAGGCTTGTAGATGATGGCTGTATGAAAATATAACCCAATATCTAATCAGAAAATTTACAGAATACCCATTTCCCCTGAGAGTCATAACCCTGTGTGACTTTTCAGCCTTGCAGTTGCATTTTGTATGATGGTAAATGGCTATGCCACAGTTTGTTTTGAATAGGGACAAATAACATAAAAGTGCTCACATTTATATTTGCAATCAAGTTGGCAACATGTTTTAAATAAATCATTTGTGACAACAAAATAGATTTGTGTGTTCATTCTTTTAAATAGCAGGATAGCAGAAATCCAGATGAAGCTTTCAGGTTGTGGCTTAAAAAAAAACAACGAGAACATGTGAAAGAAAAACAGCTTGAAAACCAGAAACAGCGGGAAGAGTGCATGTTCTTCCTTCCAAGAACAACAGAAAATGAAAAAGCTTATAAACAGTAAGTTTTTGTTCCTTGTTAATTCCTAGAAAGAGCTTTTGCATTTCTTCCTTTAGCAATTAAATTTGGAACATTAGATTTTTTACCCTATATTCAAAGGGGTCTGGTGGAACACAGTTCCGTTTGAATGAACTGTAGTCCTTCTGGTACAGTAATTTAAAATCAAAATTACATTTTGATTTGTACCATGTGGACCATCACTCATGTACCATGAAGGCTTGTAGTACTGTACTTCCTGGGCTATCAAAGTTCAGCTCGGGACTCCTATCTAGCATAAGCAGAGTGGTGCTCATGTATGTGAAGTTTCTCCCCTTGCACAACCTGCTGTGCCTCCTGGACTCATACCACTGGGGGTCACTGGACTCCCAGCAAAAGCACAGGGATCTGTAGTGAGAAGCAGAAACCAACACCTCCCTTTTCTGTTTGTGTTAACATTGAATTCCAGTGATCACACTGGCAGGTGCCCCTAAAGGCCATGATCGCTACATCACACTGGCTCAGATTAAGTTTGCACTAAACCATGCCACTAGTAAATTCTAGCTGCTTAAGGTGGAAGGGAGCATGTAATCACATGGCACTTTCACCATGGCTTGGCACCATATCTAAAATGTCCCGGCCTGAATAACTCTAGTAGAAAGAGATGCCATGGAGCAGGAATTTCATTTGTTGCTTAAATCTTTATTCTAACTATATGTCAGATGAAGTGGTTTTGCAGTCCCCTTGGTAAGAGACTCAGTTTCCTGACAGCTTGAAAAAATGTACATTATGCTAATTAAATGGACTGTTAGCTAATCTTCAGCACATATGGCAATGATAATTCTATGAAGTTCTTTACAATATTTCATGTCCCTGCAGATGGCTAAAAAAGAAGAGGCAGGAAAAGCGAGCTGAGGTACTGGCTGCCAAAGAGCGATCAAAACAGTTACGGCAGGAAGCCCGAAGAGCAAAACAAATAGAGAACATCCTCTGTTCCATTTCTGAGCCCAGAACACTTCGCTTCACTGACCAGTACAGCTGAGGCTTAGTCACCAGGTGCCTAGCATTTGTCACACAGAGTACCTTATATCTTGATTGGCTGTCTCCTGGAAGCAGCTTCTCCGGGGGCATGTTCCACAATCATTCAATAATGGGTTAATTTTCGCAGTGATTTTACACCCCTCCCTTCCAAAATAGTTCTGTATTTGTGAGTGGCTTGGTTCTTCCACAAAATAAATGCCCATATGGCAATTCTGTGTAAGTCATTTTAAAATAACTGGTCTTAGACCACAGTAATTTCAAGTTAAGCAGCTTGTGGCTCTAGTGCAGTAGATGCCAAGCTAACTTTTAACCATCACTCTACCATCTAATTAAGGGCTGATAATTGTCCTATGAGCATTGCACGTTACTTGTAATAGGGACAAAACCCATGTAATACCTTTTATTAGGAGCAACCAGAATGGCACAGAAGTGTGTGCAGTCTTTTCACTTCTCCAGAACTCATCAGGCTGGATGCTACAAAAATAAGGGGAGTGGAGGAGAGAGAAACAGATACCTCGCCAGCTTTTGTATTTCCAGTGGGAGGAATCCTTTATTGAATTTCTTATTCTCATAATGCCAGGGGTGCGTCATAATACCAGCATCATTTTAAATCTGCATTACCTGCTTAACATTTTGCGAAGGATGCGGGCAAGAGCTCCTTCCAGCTGGCTGAAGATTCATGGAGAACTTGGAAGCTTGCACAGTGTTTTGTGTAATTTTGATTCCTCCTAATAAAATATATTATGTTGCTTTTTTATTCTGGTTTGGACTGGAATGCTGCCTACAACTTTTCCTACTGGGGGGGGGGGAGTGACCATTGCATCTGAGTTCCTTTTTAATCCTTTATGAGCAAACTTCAAAGTACTGTTGTCTGCCTATGAATTTGTTGGATATAAAGTTAACTTCTGCAAACCCCACAAGCATTTACTTCCAGTAAAGAACCTGGCTGCAAAGACAAATAGAAAATATAGTACAGTGGTTTTTTTAAAAGGTAAGGAAATATTCAGAAAGATATATAAAGTTGGATCTAAAAGTTGTGATCTACAGAAAGAATTCCCCAAATGTGGCTCCTGAGGGACACAGGATACTCTTAGAAACATAGATTAAGGTAAGATGCAGTAGAAAGGAGAGATCAGGAAAACGTCACCCAACCACTGCTTTTCACTGGCAGAAACTGACCTTCATATTGAACATCCCCTTCCTGTGAGGACAGGTAACTAGTATCATCAAGTTTTTCTTTTCTCATAGGGAACAGAAGAAATTCGTTCTGTTTTAATAAAATCCACACAATAAATTGACTTGGATTTGTGAAGTCATTTGACACACCAACTCCTAAAATTTGTGGTGTTGCCCACAAAATGGGCATTTTAAAGATGTGAATGTGAATCCCTTTACTGTATGTCTATTCAAGAATAGGTTTAGTTACACTGTACCCTTTCTAGTCTTTGTGTTACTTAGAAAACTATTCAGGATTACCAGCTTTACAAATGTATAAAAACCCATCCACTCAAAAACTGCAATTAACATTTATTGTAAAGGTAGTCTGTAACCCAGACCACAGGGAGCCAAACCCAGAAGCACTTCTTAATCCATGATTTATATAACTATTACCATACTTGAATTCGGAAAGGGGAAAAAAATACAAACATACACATCTTGGTTCCTTGAGGTACAGCTGGAATATCAGCCTTTCCAAGTCTAATAGCACCAGAAGAAGCTTCCTACATGTATACTCCACCACACATGCTTATTCAAGTCACATTAAACCTGTGTTAGAGATACCTCACACACTTAGATGCACATATGCAATAGTTTAAATGCTGTTACTCTTTGGTTTCAATTTCATGTGCAATATCTCATACACTCTAGAATTCACTCAGTCTCAATTGAGAGGATGTTTAAACAGTTTATACCCAAGAGTTGCTTTCAAAAGAAAGAGATTTGTACTTGCTTAGGTAATGTGACTGCTAAAACAGAACTTCAATATGTAACACTGCACTCCTTGCCATTTTAAATTACTTTAACCAAGGAACAGCAGATATCTGCTTCTGTCCAAGATCTGATGCTTGTGGGATTTATTATTCTTTGCTTTCACACATATAAATTGTGTGAGTTTAAGAGACTGTGTACAGTGTAAAATCTGGTCTCATCTAGAAAAGCAGGCAGTGGTGCTCCTGTTGCTGCACTGTGATGCAATCCTGAAAGCGCTAGACTGACAGCAGAACTTCTTGACAAGCCTAAAAGCAGAAAGGAGCCCATCCCTTTAGACAAACCGCAACAGAGTTAACAGTGTAGATCCCAGCTAAAGTGTACTGATGCAACAGTTCTAGCTTCTGGCCAACTTTAAAGAACTATCAGTTCTCCCTGGCAGTGGTTGCAGCAGTTGAAAGTGATGTTTTCATATCTAGTGTATGGGTGAAATCGTCCTATATTCTTCTTTGGTGAAAGGAAAGAGGCTGGTGAAGACAAAGAAAGTTCGGGTGATGCTTCTGTACAGGCACCAGGATCCAGCATTCTTAACACCTGAAGGGAAATAATGATAAATCAGGAGTTTTGCACAGTGTCTGTTCACAAAGGAGGAGTAGCTGTTGGAAACAGCATTAAAGTTGGAAAAGTGGCATTTGTCTCTACCAGATTCCATCACAAAAACTATATGGGTAAGGAGGAAGGATTTGAGCTTCAGTGATGGCTGGGACAGTTCCAGAGGTCAAAGGTTGCCCCTGTCAATAGAAGTTATTCAGCCAACATTCTCTATGGTTGCAGCTTCTGGGTAGGGTAAAAAAGAAACTTCTGTCATGGTTGCACAGCTGCTTACTAGGCTATAGAACAAATCCTTAGAAACGGAAAGGGCAGTAAAGGAGGAAACAGGAGAAAAAATAGGAGGAAATACACTAGCACAAATGTAGTTACTTGGGGTGAAATACAATGAACCATGAATGGAATGAATTACTGGACCCATATCGTGTTGAAAAATTGCGCAAGGTGGATGGAAGTGCTGAACACTGCAGCAAGAGAGGGAAAATGGCAGAAATCACTTGGAATGAGCTCTTGCTCTGTTCACAGAAATGCACAAGGTGGAGGTGGGGGAGATTGCAGCAATTTGTCAACAAGGTTGTCTAAGCTGTACTAAACAGTGGTTGAGGGTCAGACCTTGCAGTTGCTTTCACAGCTCTTAAGATGTGCAGCTGAAAATACAATCTGCTAAAACCAAGGAAATGAAATGAAGGAAAAACTCAGTTCATTGTCGACTTGAACAAAAGGTAAAATAAAAAAGATACAGTTCACATAATAATACATGTTTTCTTAAGTGCCTGGAAGAAGAGGTGGATGATATCTGGAACCCTCAGTGAATTGAGGTAGAGGTAAATCAGCCTGTCTTTGTTTGACCTGAAGTTTACACTTCACCCCCTTTTCCCTATCAATGACTGATCAGAGTGAGGCTAAAACTGTCCTATTCTTAAGTGATGAACACCTTGGTAAGCAGAGGTATCTTAAGTTTATGAGTGTGAATTTTTTTGATTCACACAATACACAATAGTGAGCTTTTCAATACTGGCCCCAAAGTTTCTGCTAGCTAAGAAAAATTTATTTGCATTTCCTGAAGGCAAGCTTGACAGAGCCTCTTTTTAGCATTCCAAGTGGTAACCAGATTAGAACCAAGATTTTTTACCATTTCAGCCATTAAAAAAAAACAGCAGGAGTGTTGCACAGTTCTGTAGGTGAGGAGTTCTTTTTGGGACTGTTAGATGCATCAGCATTTCCAAGGAGATGAGAGGTCACTGCTCTAGCCAATTTATGATTCACAGCTGCTAGCTCTGCTGTACTGTGAGGCTGTGCACTAGGATAGTAAGTCTGTTGTCTCCCCCACTGCAGAGAAACTAGCAGCTCTTCCAGCAATCTGTACAGGAAATAAAGGTAACAAGTTGATTTTGATTATAAGCTTGATAGAGGTGAGAGATTTACTAGGCCATATGAGCGGCAGAGTGAGCAGTTGAAAAGGATCATATTAGCTATGAGAACCGTCCTGTTGCTAGGAAACAGCATTGTGAGGAAGCCTATGTATGTAGGTTCTGTGCCCACAAATCGCTTATTGCACATAGGTGGCGCAGGGCCAGAGCGCACTGGTGTCTGTTCACCCTCTGGTATGCTGATTTCAGCATAATGTGTGTAGTGGGGCTAGATTTTCCAGTATGACTTAAAGAGCCATGACAATCCTTAGGTAAAAGTGGGAAGCCACATTATGTTGAAAGCATATCAAGTCAATCTTGGATTTTCTCCTGGGTGGGGGTAGGATACGGCTAAAATTGGAGGATGATGCAGATGGCTGATACACCCCCTATGTATGTGAAGCCACAGGTCCAAGATAAGGTGGCATCCCCCCCCTTAGTAAGCTTCAACAGGCCTGATTCTCTCATTCACCCCTCTTTTCTTCCATTATATTTATGGTAACTCCATGATGACTAATGTACAGAAGAAATACAAAGAAAAGAAGAGAAGTTTGCCAGGTAACCTATGAATGAGAACTGTCCTAGTGGCATGAAAGTCTGACACATCAAATCGTTGAAGACATAACACCAGAATTCTTACTTTTGTGTAGCAATCATTTCTTGCCGAAACTGGTCCCGTTCACTTAGCAGACCCTGAATTGCACTTTGAGCATCCCTGGTTTGACGCTGGAGAATTGCTCTGAAGTTAGTCAGCTCATCAGTCATGACTCTGCAGAAGAAGAAATGCCAGATGTCTTTTATGCAGAGAATATCACTTAAAATTCTAATTAAAATTCTACATTAGCAGATGGGCTTGGTGTTTATACTTCAGACCTTTCAATACTTACAGGATGAGCTCCTAAACTGACATTGGAAAATCTTACACAAAACTTGTTTATTTTACATCTCAAATTAACCAAAGCCACTGTAATGTGACATCTCAGCCTTCCCGTGATGCAGTTTAGGCTAAGAGAGAGTGGCCTTGGGCCTGAGACACAGAGTGAATGTTGTGGCTGAGTGGGGAACTGAATGCAAATCACATACTACGAGCTTTTCTAATGTGGAGGTCCTATTAAAATCACTGGCTATCATCCAAGTAATGACTGCAAGATGAAAAGAAGTAGCAAAATAGAAGGGTTATTTTGGTCACTTTATTGTTCAGGAGTGTTTAAGTTGTGCTTTTTAACCTTGGGACTGGAGCACTGCTATTGGTCAAGAACAAGCTGAAACCCCATGGCAATCATATCCATTGTATTTAGGCTTGTGAAGCAAGCCAAGAACATACCTAGGAAACCAAGACTAACTTGTCAGGGAAGAGTAATACAGGTCTCTCACAGTGAATATGCTGCAATTCAGCAACCGGAAGAGGGAAGGTATGGAGTGCTAGGACTACGCAAGAAGCAGTCAATGTGTGCCCAGGTTGTCATCAGTTTTGCCTTGTAAAGACCTGGTGGACCTTCCAAGAGTCAAATGGCATTCTTGAGAGGAGCAATGGAGAAGTTAGCTAGGACCAACAACTGTGTGCGGCATACCCATTCCTTCTGGCCTTCCACCCTCTTGGCAGAGTTTCCTCCTATTTCGCTGCACTATACTGCCTACAATGCCAGGGCAATCATAAGTAAGGGGGTAGAGTTTTGACCTGGATGGCCCAGACTAGTCCAATCATGCCAGATCTCAGAAGATAAGCAGGGTAGCCCTGGTTAGTAGTTGGATGGGAGACCACCAAGGAATCTGAGGGTTGCTACACAGAGGCAGGAAATGGCATACCACTACTGAACATCTCTTGTCTTGAAAACCCTATGGGGTTGCCATAAATCAGCTGTGACTTGACAGCAAAAAAAAAAGTTTTGACATGCTTCTCTCCCACCAATATGATCTTGGGGTAAGGACTATACTTGAACATTAAGGACCCATTAACCTCCAACACCTTCCTGTTTCTTATAAAGACTACCCATTTCTTATAAATCCATTAAAGGGCGTGATGGTAAGTCTGTACTCATCAAGACCTTTTCTCAAGGTTAGGAAGCAAGACCAGGCACTTCCCCCCGCCCCTGCCTAAGGACTGTTGGGGAATCTGAACATCTCAAGATATAGAAGTCTTCCTACCCTGTATAGTAAGGAAGCTATTTTATTAGCTAGGGCTATTGTGGTCTTTGAGGGAGGACTCATTGGGGCTGTTCCTGGCAGCAACCACTGAACAACTTGGTACCACATGATTTGCATGACTCACCCAGGACTGGCTGCTTGCTACTGTTAAACAACAGCCACCACACAAAAGACAGTATAGTCTAATGGTTAGATCTTTGACATGGTCTCTCTGCTTCACACCCATGGGATACAGTGCGCATGCGCTGGATCGATCGGTATTGTAGCAAGCTCTAACGGATTTTCGCGCCCAGACCTCAGGCATGCGCAGGAACCCCCACCACGCATGCCCAGAGGGGTGGGTGCAGACATCCCGCCAGTTCCTTTCTTTCTGCCACGCTGGAAGCACCTTTCCTTGGTCGGTCAGATTGGTAGCTATTTTCCTCAGAGGCTCTTTGGATTTCTCTTCAGGTTTTTCTCTTAGTTTTCACCCTTCCTTCGCTTCTTCGTTTTTTCTTAAAAAAAAAGAAGACTTTATTTAGTTTTGAGGGGGAAGTTTTTTGTCCTACCTCAGTTTGGCCTTCCCCCCCCCCCACCCCTCTTTCTTCTCCATCCATTTTATTTTATGGAGAAAAGGTGGGGTTTTTTTCAAGCGTTGTAAAGCGTGCAGCAGTAAGCTCGCTCTGCCGGACGGCCAAACTGTTTGTATTTTTTGTCTTGGTGAGACGCACCGACCGGAGTCCTGCAGGCATTGTGTCAAGTTCTCCAATCAAACTAGGAAGAACTGAGCGGTGCATCTCCGGGTGGCGTTACTAGAGAATCGGCACTAAATCCTGCTTCCGCCATGGATCCAGAAGTACCAGTGAGACCATCGACATTGACGGCTCCGAAATCCTCATCTGACATCGTCCAGTCGATACTGAAACGTCCGATACCGACGGCAGTCTTCTGCGTCCACTCCCGTGATAAAGAAAAAGGAGAAATCGGGTAAAGAGCACAAGTCCGCCAAAAAGGGTTCCTCTAAGGCCCTAAAGGTGTCGAAGGCGGGAAAAGTTGCGGGTTCTGCACCGGGTAACGCCCCTAAGGTGCCCCCCGTTCCGACGACAGTATCAGCATTGGAAGCTCCAGTCGCTCCACTGATGTCCCTCTGCTCAGTCATCGACATTGGCAGTCTCGGAGTTCCGCACCAATATCGATGCAGGTCGGCATCGACAGATCCCTCCAAACACTCAATGTCATCCTCCCCGTCTGTTTGCCGAAGATCGGCCTTTCGATATCGATGATCTGGCTGATAGGAGCCGCTCATGGAGAAGAGATACTACGCTGTCTCCAAGACGTTCCTGCTCTAGGAGTAGATCCCCTCGAGTCTTCCTACCCCCACCACCTCCTGCCCTCTCCTGGGATCACCGTCAACTACATTATCTCTATGGAGCTTATCCACCCGCATCTATGCCGTGGTTGACTCCAGCAGGTTACTCGGATTGGGATTGTTACTCTGCTCACAGATCATGATCACCCCGTAGATCGAGGCCGACACCCTCAGCGTCTCTTTCCTGGACTCCGGATCATGCATCTGATGACCCTTCTCGACATCGACTGGATCAATATCGTCCTCCCAGTCTCCCTATCCCACCGTCAACAGATCCAACCAGTCAGATCAAAACCACTCCAGTACAATTACCAGAGTCCAATTCCTCTGACTCTGCAGATGAGGATTCGGATACGGGATTTCAGATGTACACAGTTCCCCTGACCAGCCTTCCCCGAACCAGGCAGTAGCCGAT